CACATGCCTATTCATCTTTCAAAGCCTGGGTCAGATCCTATTTCTTTCTTTCTTTTTTTTTTTTGTGGTACTGGGGTTTGAACTCAGGGACTCACTCTTTCTAGGCAGGTGCTCTACCACTTAAGCCACTCCACTAGCCCTCTTTTCATTCTCTCTCTCTCTCCGCTCTTTTCTCTCTTTCTCGCTCTACTGCTTGAGCCACAACTCCAGCCAGCCAGCCTTTGACTGGGGTCTCCCAAGTAGCTGGTATTATAGGCATGAGTCAGCCTGTGCTGCCAGAGAGAGAGAAAAAGAGAGATAGCCTAGGTTAAGTGTGCCTTAGCTCTTGAGTAACACCAGTGCTTCTTGCTCTTTGCTATTTTTATTAGACAGCATTATTTGGCTACAGTTAATTTATTCAAAATGGCACCTAGAACGAGAGGCTGCTGTTTCTAAATGTGCAGCATAGGTTTGGAATCGGGCGATAAGGAAATTTAGAGGGGTTTGGGAAAAAAATGCCAAGAAGATTGGTGCTATACATTATGAGATAGTAAATTGCTTGGTAAAAATATTGCCTATGGTAATTTGGGAGGGAGAAAATGGACTCATGAATTAGTGGAGTTGAGCAGGATACTGTAAACACAACCTTCTCTGAACTGCAAGTGATAAGGTACTACAAGTAAGGGATGAGTTCAGAAAAGAAACTGACCAGTTTGAAAAAATAAAACTGGTTCTCATCTCCAGTCTAGCCAGGTAAGACCCCAAAGTAAGATTTAGCCTAGAAGGCAAAGACCATTCTCTAGGGCGCAGTGAAACATGCGTCAGAGTACAGATGCAACAGAATGTGCCCTTGACTGTAATGTCCTATGTTTAAGGCCCTTGAAAAGAATATGGTGACATCTAAAGTGGCCTTTTAGTAACAATATGGTATCTTGAAACCTTCAGGGCATGGCTCATAGCAGCCTGACATACAGTCACCAGTGTACAGAGAGGTAGATGTCAAAGGAGTTGTGTTGTAGCTTTTGGCATGTAGCGTGTACTGGAATCCAGTACATAGGAAACCCACACAATGTTTGAGAGACACAGGCCAATGCACTGCCAGTGTGGACTGAAACAGGACCAAGGTGGTTTGAAACACAAACCTCAAGCCCCAGTTTCTTACAGGCAGGAAGAGATGGAAAGTTATGCCTCTGCCAGCTGGCACATTTTCCAATGTCCTTGTCAGAAGATGAAAGGACAACACAAAAAGGATAATGTACCAAGAATGGAAGCCAGAGCTGAGGAGCAGAATGGTTTTCCTGCCCCAGAGTATGGGCCCTGACGTTTGCTCTGCAAATGCTTCCTACTTCCCTCTGATAGGCATGTGAACTAGTTATCCTAGCCCCATTCCCCCACTGTATGTTGGGTGTTTGTAGATATAGGGTGTGGGAAGCAGAAAACTTTGGAGTTCACAAGTCTCTGGATCAAGAGCCACATCCAGGCTGGATGTGGATCACATGCTGGACTTGCCTGAAGTTGATTGGATAGACTTTTGGAGGTATACTCTACGTACAGGACAGCAGTAATCGTCTCTGTTAGGGCTGCTGGTGGTAGGCTGTGTAGCACAGTTGTGATCTATGTGATCATTGGGAAGAGTCACTCCTTTTTCTTGCTTGCTTCCCTACTTCCCTGATGACCGGTTTTACTTTGTTATCCGTGGGCCAGGTCTGAGCAGAGGTCTAAATAAGACCTGGTTTGTCTGCCTGCACTCCATGCTTCCACCATTGCCAGCCTCCTGGTCCTTGGGGAAGATGAATCATGGGGCAGAACCAAGCTGGCTCAGCCAAGCCATCTAGTTGAGTTGACCCTGACTGACTCCCCCATACAGGAGCCAGCCCAGCCCAATCAACCCTCAGAAGAGCCAGATTCATGAGCTGAATCCGTGTTTGTTGTTGTCTGGTGCGTGAGCTTTCACAAAGATTGTTGTGCAGCACAGTTGTGACCCTTAACTGATACTGAGGAGGTGGCTGTGTTGAACAGCCGCAGTGGACTTCCTACTGTGGCTCATCCTTGCTCAGGTAGTGGTGAAGCAGAGAGGGTGTGAGCCCTGGAGATGGACTTTGAAATAAGAGTGCTCAGTCCTCATCAGAGCTGAGCATCAGCCAAGAAACTCCTCCCATGGTGAGGAAGTAACTCTTTCCAAGACAGAGGAAGGAAGAGCAAGGAAAGGGGACAGAAGTGGGGCATCCACTTATCTTTCCACCAGGAAACTCTGGCCAGAGGTGGCACTCCCCCGACACACAGTAAAAGCTGAGAAACTACAGGAAAAAAACCTGCTAAATTCTGTTTTGTGTGGGGATTTTCTACACTCATTTGAACAGAGAACCCTTCTTCAGTCTACTTAGTCATATCCCACAATCCCACAGAGTCAATTTTGAGCTGAATGTCCTCCAAGTCCCAGGAGGCTTTGCTTCCAGAGTGCCCAACCTTAATGCTAAGGTTTTTCTTATGGAGATGAGGAAGTTAAAGGGCCCAGGCTGGGAGTTTGGAGGTCTGGCATGCTTAGCCTGCAGAAGGTGCCTTCTTCCGGCTCAAATCCAGTTCTGGGTTCTCTCCTGTTTTCTGTCTCAGTTCCAAAATCTGTCCTAATCCCCAGCCCCTTCTCTCTGCTCTCCTGAGGTTTATCTCAATGGTCCAAGCATTGCCACTGGCTGACTGCTAGCTTGCTAGACCAAGGGTCTCCCTATACACCTGCCAGGAGGCTTCCTAGTGCCCAGGCCCCTCTTCATTGCTCCTCCCCATGGGCTCCTATGCCCAAGGCTGGTAGGTGGGCATCCCAGAGTTACCTGTCTTCCTGTTTTCCTTTGCCTGTGCCACAGGCCACACCTTGCCACCAACTCAGATAAGCTTTATCATACAGTCCCAAAGCACAGGAGTCTGTCATGGAAGTGTTTGAGTCTACACCTATATCTGGTATGCAGATCTTGGCAAACCAACCTAAATGTACAGTCCAGCTCACTGCAGAACAGCCAGATATTCATCGCAAAATGTCAAGCATGGTCCACCTTCACCCCAAAGTGAAGAGAAACAGCCAATAAATACCTTGGTATTAAACATTTCTTGGTTAAGGGGGGATAGTCAATTTTGACACTATTGCGAAAAAATACAGCCTAATTTTCGTTCAAATGCACCAAATTTACTGCAAGGATTCTCATTAAGTACTGTCAAGGGAGAAGCAGACAGACAAGATAAATTATGAAAAAATTACTTTTTTAATGTACAAAAAGACGTATTTACAAGTTGAGCATGTCATCTCAATACATAGCATGTAGAAAAAGCTAAAAATGTTTTGGCAATATAAATTTGGCTGGATGATTCACCTACAGTATATTCAGGGATGATGTTGTCTGCACAAAAATATATATAGGTGAAGAATGGCAAGCGCAGTCAGGAAGTGAGCAAACACCACCATAGGGCCATAGACCTCGGCCATGTCCCACAACTGACACTTGGACTTGGCCTTGTCTCCAGACCTTAACTAGTTTGATGTGCTGGGATACGGAGGGCCCAAATTATCAGGTTTGGGTCCTGTTCACAGACTCCACTTAGAAGTTCCTCATGGAAGCCAAGGTCACAGCCAGAATGAAGCTCTGAGTGATGGGGTTGGTTTGGCAAGGTTGCTACAAATTCAACATGGCAAACAAATTTGGGATGTGTGTGTGTGTGCATGTGTGGTGGGGTTGATGCACCTGTTCACCCTACTGTATGTTCAGAAATAATTCTTGGAGCCAGTTCCATTTGGGGCTTGGCTACACTGGATAAGGACAATTTCTCAGAGGCAATTTCAGGGACAATCTCTTAGAGTCCAAGAACCAATCCTTCACCCTCCCTCCCTACCCAAATACCATGCACGTCATTGTTTTCTGCCAAATCACTGTGTGTGTGTGTGTGTGTGTGCGTGCGCGCGCAGAGCGACTGCATGTTGTGTCTCCGTGTAGACCACTGGGCCACTAGTGACCATGGTCACCTAGCATGGCCTGGAGGAGCCTGGGCAGAGGCTGCCATTAAGCCCTGGAGTTTCCATGGTAAGATGGGCAGATAGTGCATTGGAAAATCAGGATTGAGTAAACATGCGACTTCCTCTTCCTACTAGGAAGGCCTGTGGGGTAGCCTGAGGCTGGGCCCCAGCTGCACCCTCATATCCTTAAGGCCTCCATCCATCCCTAACCCCCAGCAGCCCGAGGTATTTAGAAACAAGCATTCGTTTCAGGAAGGGCTACATTCTACATGCAGGAACACTGTAAACACGGTCAGGAGAGGCCCTGGGCAGCTTCTGGGCTTGCCCCAGGTAGTACACCTTTTTTTTTTTTTTTTTTCCTTTTTCCCACGATACTTACATATTTTATTCATTCATATACACTTGGGCAATCTGCCAGTTCCAGACTCGGCTTGAGGGGGTAGAGATGCCAGCTCTACCAAACCTGGAATTAGGATGTGCTTCCAAAGCATCCGTGTGCAATGCACCCTTTCCTCTGAGACCTCAAGACTCAAGCTTCCTGGAAGAGTCCTGGGGAGATGGCAATCCCTTCTCCTTGCAGGTGGCAGAATGAAAAGCCCATCTTCCCCAAACAGAATATCCATTACGGTTTCAAGTCCAAATGTGGCTCCCTTACCCTCTTTCCGCATGTACTTGGAAAGCCCTTGGCCAATGTAATCCCTCATTAGCCAAATGACAGAGGTGAAGAAGCCAGAGCTGAGCGGTCCCATAAACACCAAAGGCGGGCAAGCACTGTGTAAATGAGTTTCTCATTCCTTCCTTTCCTTTCCTATTGAGACTTTTTAGTTCTGAAAAGTAGTCCAAAAGACCAGAGAGGATGCTCATAAAACCTCTTAAAACATCTGTAGTCTTCACCAGCCATTGGCAAAGCCCTCTCAGGTCTATTTAATACTTTTTTGGGAAAAAAAGTTGAAATAGATGAAATCCCCGTGCTCTGGGGAGGTGGCAATTGCTCCAGTTCTGCGCTGCACCAGGGCCCAGGGCCTCAGGTCATCAGGTTCAGGAACTTGCTCTCCTCGGCCAGACTGGTGAGCATGGAGCTCATGTCCCCGACAGCCATGTTACTCATGCCTGTTGGGACGGAGGGCAGGGTCAAGGAATTCCGAGGGGTAGTGAGGCGCGAGGAGTTCTGGGAGAGGCTGTGAAGGAGGCTGGGACTCAAGGCCCCCGAGAACAAGCTTGAGTGATCACCATCATCCATGATGGCATCGAAGTCAATCTGGGGGGCCTCCAGGAGCTGGGAGTCCACAGTGCTGGACACCTGGTTGACCCCTGGGGAGGGCAAGGGCTGGGGCTGAACGTTGTCCATGCAGGTCTGTGGCTGTGGTGGCTGAGGCCGCATGGCTGGGCAGCTCCCATGGCTCTCCAGGCCTCCATTCTGTTCGTACATGTGGATCTGGCCATAGTAGTAGAGCGTGTTGTGGTCCTGTGCTCCACCTGTGTCCTGTGGAAGTGGTTGAGGGGGTAGTGACACCATAGTGCCCATTGCACCTTTGGGCACAGCCTCTGCTATCTCCTGGCTGGCTGATGTAACCATGGCCTGGCTAGTGGCCCTGGCATAGGCCAACTGCTGCTGCCCAGCACGAACCCCGCGATGGCGGCCAGCAGGGCTGGGCTCCAGGGGTGGCCGGGGTTGCATTACACCAAAGCCTGATGTTGATGACCCCATTGTGCCCTGCTGTGGCTCCATGAAGCTAGGTTGGTGAGAAGGAAGAAGGCTGGAGCCCTGGCGGAAGCCCTCCTGATTCAGAGGGGCTGCCAACTGATGGCTATGCTGTGGATAGCTCTGGACTGGGTGAGGTGGTAGCACCCCAGCCAGGGCTGAATTAGGGACCCCCAGTTCCCGGTGGTGGCTGCCCATCATAGTGGGGTTGGAGGCAACTTCCATTTGCTGAGGAAGCCCCAGGTGGCCTGGCTTGGCCACCATGTTGCTGCAGGATGGGGGAAACTGGTTCAAGGCTCCATTGATGGTGCTAGGGCTCAGCTGGGGCTGAGCTTGGCTGTAGTTGGCATGGGGACTCACAGCTGTGGTCATGCTGAGGCACTGGCTGCCTGGGGCTGGCTGTTGGAGCTGCTGCACGTAATTCACTCTGGGGACTGCGCTGTGGGGCTGAAGGTGTGGCTGAGTGCTGTCCAGGCCCCTGGGGCTTGGCTCCATGCCTTGTGGACTATAGCTTGGGTACTGGCCAAAAGCTGGCTTCTGCAGCACTACAGCTAAGTTGCCATGAGCAAAGGATGGAGGCTTCGCCTGGCTGGGCAGGACATCCATTGTGCCAGAGCTCACCTCATTCCACTGCACTGGCATGTTGTTTTTGTTTAGGTTGGAGGGTGCCCCATAGCTCAGCTGGCAGCCTCCCAGGCCAGGGGCAGAGGGACTCATGTTGGAGTCAGCAGCTGCTAGCCTGCGGTGGCTGTGCAACCCGGGGCTGGGCAGCTTGGGGTTCTCCCGGAAGCCAGTGCTTTCCGTGGGATATACCTGCCTTGTGCTCTCATCCAGGGCGCCACTGGTGTGTGCCTTAATGTACTGCACCACGTCATCAGGCAGCACCAGGTCGTCCTCCGCTAGCCCCAGGTCGTTCTCCGGCCCTGAGCTGTCCACCCCTGCGGCTATGGCCTCCATCACCACGTTCTCACTGATGCTGGGTGGCCTGGGCGAGTAGGTGCTGTGGGCCAGGCTGACGTCGGAGCTCGGGTGGCTCTGTAGGCGGAGGCCTCGTCTCTCCGAGCAGGGTGGCAGCGGGCCTGGGTTCACATTGTGGGCGCTGTGGAAGCGCTGCACCCGCGGCAGATTTGGGGCATCCGGCCGCCGCACAGGGTCGCTGGCCCGCCGGGCGCCACCCCCCGGCACCTCGTGGGGGAAGGCAGGCGCAGCCCCTGCATGGCCATACCCGTGACTGTAGGCAGGACCATCGCTGCCACGCCGTGGTCCCAGTGGGTGCGGGCAGGCACCGGGCAGTGCCCGTTCGGGCGTGTCCAGCAGTGCCAGCCTGGTCCGCAGGCTCATGCGCTCCAGGCCCGGCAGTGGCGTGGGCGGTGGCCCGCCGGTGGCGGCTGCGTATTTGGCGCGCAGGCTGTACTGCTGTGCGGGTGTGAGGTTGAGCAACCCCGAACCGCCGCCGCTGCACTGGCTGGCCTCGCTTGAGCGCCGGGACGCGTCAGTGGAGATGGGGTCATAGGAATCGGCAGAGCTGGCATTGTGCAGGCGGCCAGCGCCCAGGGGCGAGGCCTCGCTGGATCGGCGGCTGGAGAAGTAGGGGGAGATGCCGGAGGAGCGACGGCTCACGGTGTAGGCTGAGCTGACGGTGCTCGTGGAGCTGTCCCGGCGCTCCTGCAGCTGGCTGAGCATGGTCACCTCGTTTGCAGACAGCTCGGACAGCCGTGGGTTGGGCAGCAGCCCCGCTGGCTCGCGGCCCCCAGTGCCACTGAAGTTTTCCAGGATGGAGCCTGCAGGGAAAGCAGAGGGGTCACCTTCCTGGGACAAGGGCTGTTCAATGCCTGCTTTGACCAGGACAGTTGAGTTTGGAACACTAAAACAGGTCCAGGCACCAGTAGGCACTCAATACAGGTGTATAATACAGGGAAGGAACAATAAGGAGATAAATGGCACTTACTGCCAAGGGAGGGTGAGTGGAAGTCAGGAAGTCGGTCCTAATCTTAGCTCCACCACTGCCAGGCTGGCCCAAAATGCTCATTACTCAGACCCCCAGTTTCTCCAGCTGTAATTAAAATGTGCCTCTCCATAGGACTGGCTTAGTGAGTTGCCTCCATGAGATGGAGTTTGAGAGGGCTGCTTATTGGGAGTGTCCAGGGTGCCATGCCTGTGGAAGGCATGAAAGGACCCAAGGGCAGAAAGAGAAGTGAGCCTAGGCTGATCTCAGAGGTAGATCAGGACCTCTTACAGTCTTAGTGCTCTGGGGCTGCCTGGAGTTGCTCTGAGATGTCTGGTCCCTCAGGCTCCTGCAATGATCAGTTACTGAATGTGACCACCTGGGAAGGGTCGTCCTTGGTTGAGGTAGCTGCCCATACCTCAGGAGACCCCACAATGGGCTGAGTTCAAGGCCATCTGCCAGCAGTCCCTCTAACAGGCAACATCTTCCCTTCAAGACAGAGTTGGATGGTGTGTCACAGAGTGTCCACCACAGTGGGTTGTCAATCCCTGGAGGGCTGCCTGGGGACTGAGTGCTGGTGTGTAGCACAACACTGGACATAGTCAGCACTCAAGAGAAACTTGCTGAAAGTGCCTTCCATCTAAAAGTGCTGACTGAGCATGGTGCCACCTCCTCCATGAAACCTCCCTGTCGCTGGTCATGCTCCACTCCTAGCTCTGTCTTCAGTGCTTCTGGGCTTGTTCTGCAGTAGAGTGGGAATCTGGTGGCATGGCTTTCCGACCATGGGCTCCCTTGGGTCTGGGATTATACTGCTGTCCTTCGTAGGGACTTTGCCATGGTGCTCATAGTAGGTGACCATCAAATGACTGAATGGCTGGACCAGGAAGAAGGTGCTATGTTGGGTCCTGTCTGTTGTTAGCATAGTGCAGTTGAAAAGGATGGGCTGTGGAGCCACACAGGGCTAGGCTAAGTCCTGATCCTGCCCTTGGTCTGAGTGGGGTGCTTTCACCTCTCTGAGCCTCAGTTTCCTTCTCCATGCAATGGACTGGTAAGATCTAGCCTATTGCCAGTGCCAGTGAGAAGGCACGTGGTGCTTGGCAGGAGTAGACTTAGTTGGTGCAGCCCTAGGCTCTCCCACCCTGGCCTGCAGGCCCCAGGCCTCCACTCACCACTTGCTGGGAGGGGAGGCAGCTTGGTGTTCCGAGTGTGTGGAGCCGGGCTGGCCCACGAGCAGGAATCCTTGATGGATTTGAATTTCTCCCTCTTGAGCTGCTCGAACCGGTGCATGGTGGCCATGTGTTTACGCAGCTGCAGGCCACCAGCGGAGGGGGCACCCAAAACTGGGGCTTCGGTCCCCGGGGGAGTGTCATCCAGCGCTGTTAGGTCTCCCACGCTCCCGGGCCCCGTCCCCGGCATCTCCACGCCACTGTCATTATTGGGGGCACTGCCCAGGGGAGAGGGCTCACTGCTGCAGGACGACTGGGCCCCGGGGCTGGACTGACACAGCTGCAGGGACGAGGTAGAACACAGGCTCAGAGGGTGTGAGAAAGCAGCTGCTCCTGCAGCCACACCACACTCTTGCACACTTGGGCAAGAGGCACGGGGGGGGGGGAAGGAAGCTACTTCAAAGGTGCTTGCAAACCATTGCTTGTCATGGTCAAATCACTTCACTTCTCTTAACCCTGGCCTTCCTAACTATGACATAGATCTCATCTGCCTCCTATGTATCTGGCATGTGGAAGGTTCCCAGTATGGCCTGAAAGAAGGAACTGATGCATTCCCAACAAGAGCAATGTGCCCATGATCAAGCAAGGGACCATAAAAGCCTGCTGACCTGGTGCCTTCTACTGGGCAGGGTGCTCTCTACAGGTCAGAAGCAGGTGGTTAGGAAGGGAAAAGATGACCAGGCTGTGGAGCTGTGGGATGCAGCCTGTGCCTGACTGCCTACCTCAAGCCAGCTCTCTTCAGGTCGGGGCGGAGCATGGCAGCTTGCTCAGGGCGCATGTCTACAGTCATGAAAGTCACATAACTTGGGGTACATCCACTGTAACTTGGAATCTGGACTCATTTGCCCCCAAATTCCACGTTTTTCCTTGGGAAGCTGCAACCCTCTACCTTCCCACCCCCCACCACTAGGGCACAAGGTCCAGGCGAGCAGGGACCTTCTAGGTCTTGCCACAGGACCTCCACATCCCTCTGCTTGACCTTCAAGACCCTCTGTCAGTTGGCCCATGCCACCTCAGTAGCCTTGACTCACACCCTCACTCCTTGCTGGCCCTCCTGCAGCTTGGACCTCAATGCTCCCCATATGTGACAGCTGGCTGGCTCCTGCTGTTAGCCTTTATCACTGCCTTGCCTCTACCTCTCCAAACCCACGGCCCTGGGCCCAGGAGGCCTGGACCGATGGGTGAATATGTACCAGGCAGGGGCACCGAACAAGCACTCCAGCCACCCTCACTCACCCAGCCTTTCCACACCCCCCAACCTGGTCCCTCTGCTCACCTCAGTAACGTCTATCCTTAGGGGAGGTACAGTTGGAAAAAAGAGGTAGAGACAAAGAACAGGTGGTTAGAACTAAAGGAGCAGAAACCAGAGGACGCAGAGACAGGACAGAGGGGTGGGGACCCACAGAGGCACCCAAGTGCTGGTTAGGGAGGCAGACACGCAGTAACACCCCGACCTGTGCAGACCTACATGGGGGGAGGGGGACGTCTCCATCCTTAGCCCTGCCACAGCTGCCCAGCAGGAGTTGAGTTAGACAGGCTGCATGAGAGGCCCAGGTGATAAAGGGAGAAAAACTGAAAACTGAGTTGGAGTGGGAGGGACGTTATCTTGCCCTTAGAAAGGGGGCCCTTGAGCAGAGCCCACAGCTGTGATAGGGATTCTGGGCCCTGGGCAGAACTGTGGAGTTGCCTCTGCCAGCTGGGCTGCCCAGCTCTGCTTACCCCAGAGCTCTCTGTCTTGATGGCTTTGATGTGTAGGCAGTCCTCCATGGCCTGGTTGGTGCTGCTGGCCTCAGCATTGTCCTCAGACCCTCGGCCACCGGGTTCTGTGCTGGCCTCGTCCCCATTCTCCTTGAGCAGGGGGGCACGGACGTGCACATCATTGCGCTGCTTCTTGGTGACGTGAGCATCCGGGCCATGGACTGTTTTCACATGCTTCCGGAGGGAGCTGGGGTCCGTGTATCTCTTTGTGCAGCCTGGGATCTTGCAGATATAGGGTTTCTGGGAAGAGAACCAGGCCTGTGTTATGGATGCGGACCTAAGGACAAAGTGAATAGGTGCACCCCCTGTCCTCCCGAAATCATGCCATGTCCTCTGCAGACCTGGCTGGCGAAGGTGGAAGCGCTCTGTTGTGTTTGCAACCAGTGTGGGCACCACCTTTTCAAGTGGGTTAAAAACATGGTCAAAGGAGCTCTTGCCACAAGCTGGTGACATGGGTCTGAGAGACCCTGGGAGGGACCCACACACCACCCCTGGGGACGGGCATGGCAATTTCTAGCACCAGTAACAAGTGTCTGAGCTCACTGCACCTGGTGAGACAGTGCCAGCACCACTATTTCTTTGACGAGGAAGGCAAGGTCAGAAGGCAAAGACTCACTCACAGTCGTCTAGTAATGAATGAAAACCCGGGATGGCAGAACCCCAGGCCTGGCTTGTGTTCATCTCACTCACATTCCACAGACACTCACACACATCCACACGCACATACCTAACCCTGCACACACATGTACACACATGTTCACACCCCGCACTCCCGTCTATATACACATGGATATACTTACAAACACACATGCCTGAGCACATATGCACACACATTTAGCACCCCACACCTCCACATACGTGCACTTAGCACACGAACACACATACTCAACACGCCACCCCACACCTACACACTTGCACACCAACATACAAGTACTCACACACCTATGAGCACTTCCCTCCAAGTCTGCTTCTATCTCAAGAGACCCCAGTGGCCTCAAAGCTTTTGGGAATTCCTCTAATTTCTTACAAGCATTGGAGTCAGGTCCCTTTAGGACGAAACTGTTAGAAAAGTTCTCTCTGAAGTCTGCTTGGGTGATAGCAATTGTGTGGCTGGGCTGGGACTGGGGGTGGGGCCTCCTGCCCACTTCCCTCCCTGGCTCTCAGACCTGCCAGGAGTTCTGACTAGTGCGGGGGCAGAGGCTGCTGTGGGTCTGTTAACAGGAGACTGCTGGCCGTGTAAAACCCAGGAGCACTATTGCCTGAATGCATTACCGTCAGCCACTTGGGCCTCAGGAGCAGGGGCTGAGCGTGGACAGCACTGCCAACCCTGGCCAGGCAATGAGGCAGCTGTTCCACAGTGGGAGCCCGGCTTGTGGGTGAAGCAATGTCCCAGGATGTTTTTGCAACTGCAGAAGGGCAGCCCTCCTGTGCTCTAAACCTGTGGGACCTCTTCCATGCTGTCTGGTACTGGGGAAAGTTGCTTCACCTCTCAGAATGGTAATTTCCTCACTGGCAGGACGGGCAGCAGAACTCACCCAGTGGCCAGAGTGTGTCTCACCACACATCAGGCACTTGGGGGTCAGAAAGGCCACTCTTTTGCTTTGATTTCCGCTCCTGTGGACCTCATGGTAGCATTTGTAGTTACTACAGAGATGAGGACACTGAGGCACAGGAGGGTGAGTGTGCCACGGGACCTTACTGGCATTCTGGCTTTCAGAGAAGAGGATATGTTATACAGTGGGAGACCTCTTCTCCAGGCGTCTGAGTGCCAGTCGGCTGTATCTGAGGACAAGTAGTAGGTGAGTGGTGGGGAGGGGAGTCTGGGCACCTGGATATCTACTGCTTACAAGGGTGTACAGACTAAGGGTGATACATATACGCATGTGCCCTGAGCCTCAGTGTGCATGCTTGGTATACCTCGTTGGAGTGGGTGCGGTTCTGGTGCTTGGCGCGGTCCGAGGCATTGGAGAAGGCTTTGTTGCAGCCCTCGTGCTCACACACATATGGCTTCTCACCGGTGTGGGACCGCAGGTGTGTCTTCAGGTTTTCCAGGCGAGAGTAGGCCTTGGAGCAGCCCTCGAACTAGAATAAGGCAGTTCCACCCATTAGTCAGTGAGGGCACCCCAAATCCAATGCAGGGGGCTCTACCCTGGACCTTGCCACTGTCTCCTTCCTGTCCCCACCCCTGCTCTGTTCCTCCCCACTAGTATACCCAGAAACAGGGATTTTTAGCAACAATAGTTACTTTCCTTTTCCAGAAATTATTAGGAAAATTTTATTTAGACAAGCCACAAAATGGGAGAAATATTTGCAAATTATATGGCCGATAAGGCTCTGGTACCAATATAAAAAGAACTTACACTTTAATAACAAAACAAGGAACCCAAGTAAAAAATACGCAAAAGATTTTGAATAGACAGTTCTCCAAAGAAGAGCTATGAATGGCCCATAAGCACTTTTGTGTTCAGTAGCATCAGTTATCTGGGAAACACTGATCGAAACCACAATGAGATCCATTTCACACCCTCTAAGATGGTTAGAACAAAAAAGACAGGATGTGGAGAGTCAGATCCCTCACACACTGCTGATGGGAGTGTAAATTGGCACAGCCTTCCTGCAAAATAGGCAGGTCCTATTGACCTATGATGGAGCAATTCCATTCCTCGGTTTATCGGCCTTAGAGAATTAAAAATATATGCTCACACAAAAACATGCACGTGAATTTTATAGCAGCTCATTTAGAATAGCCAAAAAGCTAAAGCAATAAAAATAGCCACCAACTGATGAACAGAGAAAGAAAACATGGTCTACATGCACCTAGTGGAATACTACGCAGCTCCAAAAGGAAAAACCACGGTCTCATGTTACAACATGGAAGGATCTTGAAAACATGTTAAGTAAAAGACACTGGACACAAATGCTATGTATTGTGTATCCCATTTTTATGAAGTGTCCGGAATAGGCCAATCACAGAAGCAAAATGCAGACTGGTAATTGGCCAGGGGTGGGAGAAGGAGAGGATGGAGAAAGAGTACTGATGGGCATAGGGGTCAGTTTTGGGGCAAAGAAAATGTTTTGGAGATAACTAGTGGCCATGGTTGTGAAATACTAAAAACCACCCAATGGGGTATTTTTACAAAAGGGTAAATGTTATGGCATATGAATTATAGCTCAATAAAAACTCAACTTTCCAACAAAGGCAGCATATGTCATTGCATCTTGGTCACCATCAATTTAATAAGACAGGTTGATTTCAGAGGCATTAGAATGAGAACAAAACGTGTGTCTCAGAATCTATGACATGAAGTAATGCACAAAGGGGTTTGGCCAAGTAGCTTAGCTGCAGCCATGACAGAGGCTGGAACACCCTTGTTTTTGACAAAGGAGAGAGCAACTTCTGTGTGCTAAAAACAAAAGGTCTCACCGATAATAGGCATGAGCTCTGTTGCTTCAGGAAGGGAGACTGTATAAAAGGTCTTATCTTTTTCCCCCCAGTACTGGGATGCAAGCCGGGGCCTCACAAATGCTAGGCAAGTGCTGCACCACTGAGCCTCACCCCAAGCCCCTTGAGCTCATTTAAAACAAACAAAGCTTACAAAGTGGTTCTAACCCATCCTTGCTAAAGCTGTGAACCACCAGGTGCTACAGAGATAGCCCCCCTGTCCAGTGTCCTCAGTGAGACAACCTGGGAGGGTACAGCTGTGCCTCCCAGGCTTACAACCAGTCACAGCCATGGGAATCCTGGCACATCCTCACTGTGGTCATCCACGTGCTCGCACCCAAAGAACAGCTTCATGGAGGTCTGGACAGCAGTAGATGAGAGGCCTCCGGGAAGCAGACAGGGTGGGCACAGACTGGAGGACACACCTGCAAGCCCTGTCCCCGTGCCCTGCTCTGTCTGACTTGTTCCACCCAGGCGAGCCTGCGATCAGCCACAGCCAGATGCGGTTCCCTTGTGCAAGCTCACCGTGCACTTGTGTGGCTTCTCGCCCGTGTGCCTCCGCATGTGCACCACCAGCATGTACTGTGCCTTGAAGGGCTTCTGCTCCCGCGTGCAGGCCTGCCAGCGGCACACGAACTCCTTCTTCTCCCCGTGGATGTGCTCGTTGTTGATGTGCTGTCCACAATAAGTGCAAGGAGGGAGAATTCAGCTGCCTGCCCCACGGAGCCTGCGAGTGTGTGCTGACCACCCACCCCACTGGGCCCCCCTACTGTGTACGTACGGACCACTTGCCCCACAGACCACCACCTTTTCTCAGCTGACCATTGCCGGGCCCAGGACCCCCTCCCACTCTCCCCAGTGGATCTTGGCCTGCCACAAACCTGCCTGCTGCACACTGGCCTTCCCTCCTATGTGCAGACCCCTCTCCTCACTGCCCATCCCACCGGGTGTGTGCAGACCACTGACATCCCTCACCCCCAACCCAGACCATGCCTCCTCTTCACTAATGCCATTAAGTGAAGCTCTGCTGCGTCTCTGTGTCCCACCCACATCTTCCAACTAGAAAGCCAAGTGACCCTTTCTGATGGTCAAAAGCATCCTGTCACCCAGGCTGAGCTTGGGCTTCTGGGCTCTGAGGACATGGTGATTACGATGAGGTTTCTGGGCTGCAAACAGTAATAAGTGCAGCGAGGCAAACACCATGCTGCACCTGTGTTTCAGAGACATTCCAATGAAATGTCTTTATAATAGAGAACAGTGCCTCCTCATCTGTTCTTGACATTGACCCATGGATGCTGACTTTCCCTCCTTTTCAGAAAGGCCAGAGACTCCAGGGTCTGCCCAGGTCACTGACGGTAAGCATGGCCAAATCCAGACCCTGACCTGATGGTGGACTCTGGGCCCTGAAGCATGGCAGAGGGGGCCAGCTCCTCAGGGCAGGGGTCTTGGGCAAGCTGGGAAGTGCACAGGCAAGAAACCTGCTGGGAAGAAGGGTCACCTGTGGGCCCTCCTGGAGTGCCCCTCTGACTCTGACGTGCCGATGTATGGAGGTCCTTTACGGCCCTCATCCTTTAGGTTGCTCATTTAACTGGAGAGGGCAGCAGGTAGCATTAGTCACACGCACAGCAGAGTGACAGTAACCTGGGCCTCCTCTTCCCCTCGGGTCAAGCTTTCATTCTGCCTGTGTCTCAGGTCAGGCTGGGCTTGCTTCCCTGGGGAGATGGCGGAGAGTGGGACACCAAGACCTTCAAGGACTCCCATTGTTCCCACGGTAGTCTCTTCCTTTTCTTCTGTTCTCAGTCCCCTTTACTCATTCCACAACATCTAGACCAGTGCAATAGCCACTTCTACATGTGGCTACTACTAAACACTTGGAACACAGCTGGTTGGAACTGGGAAGGTCTGTAACTGCAAATGACATGCCAGTTTCAAAGACTTAGAATGGGGGAAAATGTACAATATTTCAATGATTTTGTTAATATTGATCACATGGTGATAGGATGTCAGTGATCAGCTTAAATAAAATATATTAGATTGAGTTTCCCTAATCTGAAAATCTGATATCTGAAATTCTCCTGAACATGGAACTTTTTGAGCACCAACATGATGGCCTGAGTGGAAAATTCCACAGCAAACTTCATGTGATGGACTACAGTCAAAACACAGGTGCGCTAAAAGTACTATAGAAAAATCACCTTGATACTGTGTACAGAAGATAGATAGGAAACAAGTAAATTCTGGGTTTAGACTTGAATCCCATTCCCTAGATAGCTCATTATGTATATGCAAATATTCTAAAATCCCTCAAAATCCAAATTCTGAAACACTTCTGGTGCCCAGGGTTTAGAGAAGAGACAGGAAGGACTCTCAAGCTGTATTAAATTTCACCTGTTTTTTCAAACTCTTTTAACATGTACTCCTAGGAAATGTAATCAAAGCATGACTGGCAGTCTCTCTCCTAAACAGAGATGCTGGAGACATTTGCAACCTGCAAAGCTATCCAGTGAGCTAAGCGTCCAGAAGACAAAAGGCCACCCAAGCCTCACACTCAGTGTAACATGACCAACTGTTATGCACATGGATGCCACCGTGGGAGCAAGTCAAATCTGCAGCACTTTGATCTTCTAGAAAAGTCTTCTCCCATTAGCCTTCCATTCTATTGTTAAAACCTTTCAAATGATAAAAATGCTTCCCACAATGCGTTTCATTTTTTCTTATTGGTTTACTTAGTGACAAATTGTTAATAATTGACGGGGACTCTGCTCACTTGTGTGCCTGCATCATCCATCTTCCCAGGGAGCAGAGAGGACGCAAAGCTGAGCAAGGGCCCCTCCTTTCTCACAGAGCAGCAGGTTCTGTCCAGGACTGGGTGGGGGTGACCACTTAGGGCCACAAGGATAAGCCTGTAGCTCTGTTCTCCTTCCCAGGTCAGGACCCCTGTGGCTTTGGCTGAGTAATTCTCTACCCACTCTTTGGGGCTGACCTATGTATCATGGAGTACATTTTTCACTTCCTTACCTCTGCACTCCCAGCCTGTTATGCCATCACGCTCCTCCTTTATCTAACTTATCTGTCCTGCCACTCCCAGCTCCAATCTCCCTTCTCCATCGTTTATTCCAAGAAGGTTGAAAAATTATGTTTGAATTCCAGAAGAGAACCCAATGTGTATGTGGACCACTGCTCAGAGCACTTGGGACTTGTTTTTCTTGTTTGTTTTCTTGTGGTACTGGGGGCGTCAAACCTAGGACCTTGCACATGCTGGGCAGGCACTCTACTGCTGCACTGTATCCCCAGCCCTTCAGCACTAGCTTTTCATACTGTTTTCCTGACTTTGCTTCGTTGCTCGATATTCTTATTTACTTCTTTTCTTCTACTCTCTGGTACTCCATATGTATTTGGGAATCTCCTTAGAGAAGCAGGCCAGGTTGCACATAGGTAATCATGCCTTCCAGTTGCCCAGGACGTGGCCAGGCTTTTCCTAAGGCTCCTTTTCCAGTCCCTGCTTTGCGGTAGTGGCCCAGGAAGGTCCTGTGTGGCTGAAGCACTGCCACCCAACATCAGGAGCAGGAACCAGAGGCTTACGTGCACCAGCTGCTCCTGTGTGTCATACTCCTTGGTGCAGTCTGCCCAGTGACAGTTGGTCTCATAGATGACTACCTCGGCCTCCTGCTTACAGTCATCTCTGTCCAGATCTTCCTTGAGGTCAGCCAGCTGCTCCTGTGGAGAAGACCATGTCCACATGAGTGTGTCCATCCAGGGGGCCCTGAACATATGCAGTCTGTGCTGGCTCGGGTGTGGATACACATGCACACACACACAAACATGCACACGCATCAGCTTTTTTGGCCCTTCCTTCTGCTCAGCTCCATCCATAGTGCTTTTTGTCAGGAAGCTGTCCTGGGCCCCCTGCTTTCTACCGCTAGCTGGCCATCATCAAGCTATTCCATCACATCTTGGTCTCCTGGCTCACACAAGGACAGGAGGAAGGAAGGCAGTGACTTACTTTGTTTATGTGGTTTCAGCTCCTGTGAGGAGCTGGGGTGGCTCAATAGGCTTTGGGAGTGGGGACATGTGTGCAAGGTCTGTTCCTGCCTGGACATAAGAGAAACTTCAAAATGCTCTCACTCCTTAGAGTTGTTCCTCTCATACTGTTCCCTTCTCCTCAAGGTCACTCGAAGTTGCTGGATTCACACCAGGGCAGTGCTTTAGCTTGCACACGCTGTGCAGAATGACCAAACTCTCCCAGCACTGGTTTCCCCGCCACAGTCTTAAAATGTGGCCATTTGCATTCTTGCATTATAGCCAGGGAAACTGAGGCACAGGAATGTGGACTCACCCTTCTCAGAACACAAGAGTCTGAGACAGCCTAGATCTGAACTGGAGTGTCTTGACTGCATTAGGGCCACATGGCCATCCTCACCTCAGCTGGGGCTGAACTCTGAACTGGCCAGGAGCAGTCTCTGAGTAGGGGACAGGGGACCTTCCTGGAGTGGAGAGCGAGGAGAGGCCCAGATGCCCCAGGCTGGGAGACAAGGCTCAGGGAGGGCCTTACACAGCCTGTCTAGGACTCCCCAGAATTATTCTGGTTTGCCAGCCATGCTCAGAGCAAAGCCAAGCCAAGAGGCAATTTGCAAAGACTTGCTTTACAGTTAACTATTTTTAAAAACAGTGGGAAAATGTTCTGTCTTTCCAAACAGCTTCTGGGGAAACATGGATAATGCAGGCTGAGGAAAAGTTCTTGCCAGGTGAAGAGCTCTAACATTCACTGGCATCAGAGACAGCAGCGGTGAGTCCATTTCTAGGAGTGCAGAACCCCAACCCAGGACTCCCTCACTGATTGTCCACTGGGGATGCAGAGAATCCTTCCAAAAGGGTCTCCTGGTTTGTTCCCAGGGTACCTTTCCATGAATGCCCTTGCTCTGGAAAGGACAATGACACATGCTGGAGTGATTAACTCCCTGGCTGCACTGGGATCCCACAGGCAGCATGGGAAGCCTCACTTCGGCTCTCTAGCAGCAGGGGGTGTTGGAGTGAGACCTTAAGGACAGGGGACATTGCCACACACATGGAGAAAAACTGGGAGCAGCTTTACTACTTTCTTATGCTGCAGGCCCTGCTCACTTCAGATCAGATCTGAAGCAGCAGATGGACTGTCATATCAAGTGGAGAGGAACTCTGAGAAGTGGGTGGGCCCCCAGGCTGAGCCGCCATCACACCTACAGCTAACCTGAGAGCTTCAGCAAAGTCATTATGCTGTGTTTTCTGCCAAGGGGAAGCTTGCGCATCTACCTTGCCATGAACCAGGGCACGGAGTGACATGGAGACCACCTCCTTGTGATAAAAGGCTTTCCAGGCTAAGCAGGAAGGAGGCCTCTGTGCAGCCCACCTGGGTGGAGGGCAGTCACAAGGCCCCAATGGTAGGTGGGGCATGGGCCTCCCAGGTGCGTAGCAAGTGCCTGCCTCTACCCTGTCCTCACCATTCAGCATGTTTATCTTCCCTGGATATGTGCTGTCCTCATCAATTTCAGCGGCCCCCGATGATGGCCGACCTCGTGGAAACCATGCATCATGTAGAGACTGGTATTGGTGTCAGCAAAGGGAGAAGAATTTGTCACCAACCCCTCTGTTTGCCTGACAATAACAGGATCCAATATTTCATGAAAATTAAGTACACACAGCATGCCCAACAATTTACAGTGTTGATAAAGGGTGGAGCAGCAGGTGTGGGGGATGGGGATAGGAGGCCCGAGCATTCTTGGTGGCCATGCTGGAGATTCTACGGTAACAGATGAAGACCAAGCACTGTGAGGGCTTGGGAGCCTAGAGGCTGACCTTCAAAGTCAGCAGGCGCCCTATACTCCAAGAGGACAAAGGTCTTGGCCACACAACAAGCTGGCCGATCTCTCTTTTTGTTTTTAACTTTTTTTGCAGTACCTGGATTTGAAGTCAGGGCCTCGTACTCGCTAGGCAAGTATTCTACCACCTGGGTCACGTCCCTAGCCCTATATTCCTCACCTTCCCTGCCCCAAAGGGGTTCAGGATCTAGGCTGAGCACCTGAGCATCCTCAAGTCCCCTTACCAGGAGCGCCAGAGGCATTGAAGGATGGAGAGGGGCAGTCCAAGGGGCTTGAGCCATTCAGGATACGTGAGCAACCGGTTTGGCTGAGGCTTATGCTGCTTGAGGGGAGGGATGACTGCAGCCCAAGATGAGATAGAAGTGTAGGTGGAAGTTTGTTCATTCATTCAGGGCATGTTTGATGAGCACGTCTTATGTGTAGGGTGCTGGAGTCACAGCCCTGTGAATCTACCCTACCTACCTCACCCTCTCTGATTCACTCACTCATTTACGCAGCCAGCCTTCCTTCCTATTTCCTTCCCCCTCCCCTTCTCTTTCTCCCGTCCTCCCTTTCTTCGTCCATCCCCCACTCCATTTACCATCAGGTGTGCAGCCAAAATGGCAGGAGTGTTCAGCCCAGGGATAGTGAGGGTAGCTAGCTGTTACCTGTGTCAGTCCCAACGGAGAGGCCAGCCTCAGGCCCTCAGTCTCGGTCTTGACCTTGCTGCGCTTGTGAACGGTGATGGGGTTCACAGTACTGCTCACGGCTGACTCGCTGTTCTGCTTGTTCTGAGTGAGGGTAGAGGGGCAGTCTGTTACATACAGCGAGAATACCCAAAATTCAGTTTTGGTCCTACCTCTGGGCCCTCCTCACACAGACTGTTTGGGCCTGTATTTGAAGTCAGAAACTGGGGCTTCTGGCCAGTTCCGGTCCTTCAGCTGGTGAGCCTATCCAGGGGAGAGCACAGACTTTGGCTGCCATCACAACTCTTTTTGAAGCTGCCACCTCTACCTCCTAAGACATCAGTGAATGGAAGACAACGCTTTTTGGAAAAGGCTGAGCAGACTTGTACCTGTCCTGATGAGGCTCAATTTCTGAGCTCTCCAGAGTGAAAGCAGCCAGCCTTGGAAACAGGGCATAGGGTTGGTTCCTCAGGAGAAGGCTATGGCTGCAGTCTCAGGTGACATTTCAAAAGCTGACCATGATTGGGAGACGTGCTAGGGGCCACCTAGAGCCCTGGTGGAGGGAGGAATTCTGCAGGCATCTTGTCTTCCTCCCCAGGATGAAGCCACATCCACCCACCTATCCACTTGCCACTTGCCAGGAGATGGCTTGGGGCAGCTGCTTCCCCTCTAGGATTGTAATCATGATACCCAAGATCTGGGGTCCCCAGGGGGACTGTGTGCACACCGTGGCTAATTTATATGCACAATAGTGCATCCTATGTGACAGGTCCCGTCTGCACATACGGTGGGTCAGGCAAGAGAGGCAAAGGCATTGCCGCTTTCTGGAAAGTCAAGGACCAAACATGGTCTGACTGATTCCAAAGCCTGTTCCCATCTGCAAGATAAGACAGTACCATTGCCAGATACTAATGGCACCCAGTGTATCCAGGCACCATGCTAGGATGCTGTAGGAGAACTGAGTAAGAGTGTGTGTGAAAGCCCATGGGAAATCCATGTTCTACTAGGAAATCACATAGCAGTCTTCACTTGTCTCTTTGCTAGGCAAGGAGCCCCTGTATGGCACCAGAACTGTGGATCAGTTTCTCCATCCTTTCATGCTTATTGGCTAGAAGAAACCAGAGCTGGCCCAATGCCCTTTCCATCCCATGCCTTTGGCCCTGAAGGCATTCCACCAGCCAGTCCTCTGCTCCTGGCAGGAGACAGGGTGAATAGTCCCCACAGTAGGGGGTCTGATGCACATGTGACAGCCCACCCCCTTCTCCCTGTGCCCACGTACCTGGCTGGGATCATTGAGACAGTTGCTGCTACTGCTGAGCTGGGTGGGTGCAGCACTGATGGAGGTGAGGGCCATAGGCTGCTGAGCCAGAAAGGTGGGTGAGGGCTGGATCATGGGTGGTGTGTGTCCGAAGGCTGAGCCCAGACCCCGCTGCTGGCTCAGGATCTGCTGGTAGGCCACGGGGTTGATGGGGTGAGGGAAAGTGAAGGCTGGGCTGCAATGGACAGCAGAGGAGGAGGTGGGGTCTCTGTTAGGCTAAGGCTTCCTTTGCACAGAAGACCAGTACCATAGCTTTCCTTCACTCAAGAACCAGCAGTGGCTTTCCACTACCTGTTACTTAGGTCTTCTCTTCCATGATTAGCTCTTAGGATACAGGCTCACCGCTGGCAGTCCCACACCTGGGATGAGGTTTGTCCCTGGCTTCACCTCTGTCCAACTTCTTGAACCCTCTTTGGCTTTGGAAACCTGTTCTAATGTCCCCACTCATACCCTGGGCCTTCCCAGCTCATTCCAATCTCTTTCTTCTGTAACTTCTGCTGTGCTTCTAAGCTCTGACACACCACTTGCTCTGAGTCACTCTTTCCATAGCAGGAGATAGAGGGAATGCTGGTGACTTGAGATCTCATGGTTTCCTTCTTGTTCTCCCCAGTAACACTGGAGTGGGAGCTGGCTCCATGTGTGAGGACACTCAAGTGGGCTGAGAAGCCCAAGAGGCCTTCCTAGAGGGGCAGGCCCAGCCCAAGGCCCAAGCCGGCCTTCAGCAGCTCTGCAGCTCTGGCTGAGTCTCTCCATGGGTCATGTGAGCGTCCCCACAATGCGGCAGCTGCGCCCATCACAGGCCAGGTGGAAGCCATGAGTTCTCATGGGAGACCTGGAGCTAAGCCATTGTCAAATTCCTGACTCTCAGACACAGTCGGAGATAATAAGTGCTTATTGTTTGGAAAGACTTGTTATGCAGCAAAAAATAACTGATGTATTTGTTATGACTTCTATCTCTGGGTCCTGGGGTCAAACACTCCCAGCATTCCTGGCAACCCTGGCTTTTTTCTCGGAAGAGTTAGGGAAGGAGGAGCATAAGAGTTTTAGTAAATCGGTGAAGATCTGCATCTTCAGAATAGTCAAGGGCTGCACAGAAGGGTGAAGAAGAACTGAGATTTGGTACAGACCCATGCCATAGCTAAGGGTCACAGCGATGCTTTCTGCCAGCCTAGAGACTTGCTGAGAGCACAGACCCCATCAGTGTCACACCTGGTATGGCCTCCCATGTTGGTCAACAGCTGGCTGTCTCACCATACCCAGTGAAACACTAATCAAGCCACCTTTGACCTCAAAGATCTCTGATTTCACCATGGAACCATTGGTGACAGGCCGGTACACAAAGGTGTACTCTAGGGTCAGCAAGCACACTTCCACTGCGTTGCTGTGGTACAGTTGCCAGTGTGCTGTCACAGTGCGACAAGTCCCGTGTTTCTTCTCAGCTTACAGAACCAACTGAAAAGCCAGACTCCACACACGGCCCCATGCTTTCAGGTGGCCTCACCTGAGGGCGCCCGCTGACAGGTGCCCATAGGAGCCGCTGGCTGCAGAGCTGCTGCGTGAGTTATTGATGTAGGCCACCAGAGAGTTGGGTGACGTCCGGATCATCCGCTGCAGGTCGAGGCTGGCGTCTGAAAGCGGGGAGATGGACAGTGCCCGTTTGCGGCTCAGGCGGGGCGTCACCCGCGGGCTGGAGAACCTCGACACTGTGGGGCAGTCAACAAAAGGCACATCAGTGTCACTTGGGACATGGGGTGGTGGAGTTGGGAAAGGGGAGTGGCATGGGTAGTGGGGGACAGGAAGAGTCCACAAGGATGGTCTGATGAGAATGGTAGCTGACTTCCCAGCCATGGCCTCTGTTCATTCACGTAAAACAGGAATGAACTGTTGTGGGCTGATCAGCCCACAACGTGGTGAGGATTTGACAAGTACAGAAGGTGCTCCAGTGAGTAAATAGGAGCTTAAGTGTCTTCACGCTTAAGATGCAGAGAACAGGGTGGAATCCAGCAATGCTTAAAGCATAAGACGGAAGTGCATGAATTGTGGGTGAGTGGGCTGGTAGATTGTCACTAAGAGAACCCACCTGGGAAGCCAGCCCCAAGTAAAAAAACCCAACATCCACAAGGCCCCCTGTCCCTATTAGACCTACCCAAAGGACACATGTTGATATAGTTTGGATCTGGAATGTTCCCCCAAAACCCCTGTGTTAAAGGCTTGGTCCTTAGCTTGAGGGTAAAATCTTTAAAAGGCAGGACCAGTAGAAGGGCTTCAAGTCACGATTGGGGCTGGGGTCCCCTTTGTTTTACTTCTGGAACGTGAGCAGTTTCACTCTGTCACATGCTCCCACCATGATGTGCTGCCTTACCACAGGCCCAAATGCAATGGGGCCAACTAATCATGGACTGATGCCTTCAAGAACTGTGACCCTAAATCACCCTTTTCTCTTTATAGGTTGATTATCTCGGGTATTTGTTATAGTTCTTGAAAGCTGAGTAACACAGCCTCTAACATAACTTCTAACACACAGCTTAGTATAGCCTATTTTTGAGTTTTATGTGATTGAATTACGGACACTTATGTCTGGAGGCTTTCATTCACACAATGAGTTTGTGAGATTACTGCACATGGTTGTGTATGGCAGTAAGTTGCTCATTTCACTGCTGTAGAGAACCCCAAGGGGAGGAGAGTGAATGGAGTTTAGTGTTCCAAGGTCATGGATCATGTTGCAATTGCACTAAATTCTCCACAGCCCAGGAGGGATTTGCCAAGCAGAGGCCTGGACAGCTGCTCAGATGCTTTAGTGCAGTGCCTGGGTCTTTCGTTGCCCCCTCAAACCTCACTGCCCCAGCATGTTGGGAAGGCTGTCGTGATGGGTCAGGGAGAATGGAGGAGGAGCAGCAGCAGAGAGGTGGCCTGACAACACACGGATGCAGATGCACTCACCCCCTCCTCCGTTCTGGGCTGCCTGAGGCTCTGGTTGTTTGAAGGTGCACAAGACATATGCATGCACACACATCCTTTCATTGAGGCATACACAGCAATCATGCATGCACACCCACAGTGCACACGTGCACACCCACGTATGCACACACACTTCACACACACTTGCCCTACATAACCACTTTCTGGACAGTCTCGCCCTTACCAGCTCTGTTGCACATACACAGCACCAGGAAGAGAAGAGTGTTTGACCCAGGCCAGGTCCCCCTGCACCCCAGAGTCATGTGCTCTCCCACTATGGCTCCAATCCACTTCTGCTTCCCTTATGGCAGTTCGCTGTCAGATTCTAGGTCTTTCCTCTGGCCAAACAGTGGCCTAGAAATGGTCTTATGACTTGGTTGATGATTCTACCCACCAGTTTCTGGCCTGTCCAGACCCTCTTTTTAAAGTGGTCTGAACAGACTGCCAACCTCCAGGGCTGTCTTAAGATGTAAAGTAGGTGACTTGTGACCTGGCCACAGCAGGGCACTGGGAATGCTCAGGTGTGTCCCTGCCTCTCTGGATACCTTCTTGGAGCAGCATCTTCTTTGGTCTGTTGACCCCCGCCCACCCCGGCCTTTTGGTCCCAGGCTGGAGGGGCTGCCTGTAAGTGACTCTGGCTTAAGCACACTGTGTGGGGGCTGCAGCCCTGTTTCTTCTTCTGCCTCTTGGATCCCCCCCAGAGCAGCTTAGGCTGCTCCTCCAGGGGGACGGCAGGCTGTTCCTGTCCTCACGGCTCCCTCAGCCCTCCTCACACGCCCTAGAATATGCTTAACCATGCATGTGTTAGGGTCTTATTCCCACAGCTAAGGTGGTACCAAGGGCAGTAGAGGTGGCCTGTGAACCTCAGGGGCCTCACTTCATACCCATAGTCTCCAGAGACCACCATTCACCCATGAGCAAAGCTGTGTGTCCTGGGATCCACTGCTTGGTTCTGGGGGACAACCAGGCCCCATCCACCCCAAGGAAACCCCTTTACTGCTGGGCCACAGGCACAGACTCCTCTCCTAGGCTGTGGAGGAGACAGAGAGGACCCTAGAATCCTTGGTCAGAAAAGGCTTCTGGGGCTTTCTCTCCTAAGTGCCTCCTTCATGGCCATGGGTAGTCAGAGCTGCAGAGGGGTACAGACAGCTGCCAGGGATGAGGAGGCGCTGGGATAGGGACACAGACCTGGTGGCAAGGTGAAGTAGGGGTGGGGTGCACATAAGGCACCAGGGCTGGAGCTGCAAGTCAGCTGCATGACTTGGAGCTTTACTGTCAAAGACAGCATCTTCTCCTATGATCTGGGCATAAAAGCAGGGCCCCTACCAGCTCTGGGGCTGTAATGCAATGGTATGGCAGACGTGGGGGTGGTCTGCACATTACAGAACGGCTCACAATTGTGACACACAGGTGGCCCTCTGCTTTGTACACTATTTTGCACATGAAGGGTGATTGTAGGAAAAGTCCCAGTTGGAAGCTAGTTAATCAGAACATCCTTGAATCTACACAGCCTCATCCTTGACTCTACACAGCCTTCCTTGTCAGCAGTTTCCATTTGGCCACCTTTATTCTATTGGGTTCTGAGAACTGGCCCTGCAGATCTCAGCAAGCAGAGCTACAGTGTCCTTCAGGGACTGAGATACTGGCAACTTAACTCCCAAGTTCATATATTGGTGGCCCTTAGGGGGTAAATTGGGTTGGATGAGGTGCATGAAGGGGTTTTACAAAAAGAGGAGAGAGACCCCACTAGCATACTTGCTGTCTTGCCATGTGACACCCTCCTGCATGTTAAGACATAGCACAAGGCCTCGCCAGGCCATGCTTTTGGATTTCCCAGCCTCTGGAACCACGAGCTAAATAAACCTCTATTCTTTATAAATTTTCTAGTTTCAGATATTTTGTTATAGCAACAGTAAATGGCCTAAGACAGGTGGGCACTTGGAAGGTGCTCCATAGATGCCCCAGGGGACATTGGCTTGCTCTGCCTCAGAGAGGGACCAGGAACATGGCAGGTGATTCTCTCAAGACCATTCCTCCTTTCCATCATAGCAGGAAGGATCCCAGCCACATGAGTAAGGACATGAGAGGCAGACTCACTCTGCTCCAGCACTGGGGCTGGGCTACAAACATGACCACCTGTTCTGAAGAAAGAGGCAAACATTGAATGGCCTCTTCTCAGCAGGTCAGCATCTGGGAACAGTGTGTGTCAGTCACTATTCAGTGACAATTAGACCCACAGCCTCACTAAACAGAAACTGCCAACCTCTGGTATCATCTTTGCAGATAAGGAAACAAGGATTGGGAAGGTAGCGATTTGCTCAAGATTGTGGAGCTGCAGGGGGATTTGAATCCAGGTCCAAAGGAGCCCTGGTTTGTGGATTTCTCAGGACTGGATGAGGACCAGGCCCAGAAGGACTGTATTCCCACTCGCTAGCAGCCAGCTGCCTGCTCAGCTTCCCCCTCCCCTCTGAACAGTGGATCCAGGTCAGCACATCTGCGTCTCCTCCACCCTCCACTCCTGCTCCCTTCAACCAGCTCTTTCTTCAAGCTGGGCTCAGTAACCACCCAGCATCCCCACAGGGGACTGGGGCATCAGCTGAGGCCCCCTCGTGAACTCCTCTTCAAATTCCTTTTCTCTTAAACTCCACCACCAAGCCTGGCCCATCCTGGCCCCCTGCTTTCTGGGATCATTCCAGGGACCCTGAGCTAATCATAGTCCAATCCACATTCCTTAACTTGGCCAAGACAACTTTTCAACATGCAAATCAGATCCCCCAAAACTTTCCAAAGCTCCTCTCTGGTGTTATGAAAAAGGCCTACATAGGGGCCCCGCAGGGCCTCTTCCTGCCCCACTGGCCTCCTTTTGCCTTCCCCTTCAGCTTGCCCTCACAGGGTCTCTGCATGTGTTACTTCCTCTGCCTGCCAGCTCTGCCCTCACCTGTGATCAGATGAGGTCACCTCCCCCAGGCAGCCTTCCCTGACCTGGGCAGGTCCACCCTATCATGAGGCCTCTCTGTCCACACCGGGTCGCACTGGTGAATCTAGTGCGATAATCATTAGTGTGGTTATCTGCTGACTTCTGCCTCTCTCCTCTTCTTGAAATAGAGGCCCAAATCCTTTTTCCCCTGACTTCTAGGCATTCAAAATGGTGAATGGATCTCATGCTGACCAAAAGGCACAGCTATGCCATGTGATGCATGAGCAGAGTCACAGCCCTAACTGAATGTTTCTGCAGCAGGCACTAGGCCCTGGTTAGTACTGAATAATTTCATCTTCACAGCAGTCCCATAAGGAAGGGACAAAGTTGTGAGGAGGCTAAGTGTCACCTCCAGGCCACGCAACGAGGAGGAGAGACTGGGTTGGGGAGCAGGCACATGAATGCCAAACCATTGGTCACTGTGTCTGGGCCTACACCTGAGAGTGAGAGTCAGACACAGAGGCACATGGACAGCTTGTGCTGGCTGGCCACCTCTGTCACTTAGTGGTTTCCTTAGAGCATGCTACTTAGCCTTCTCTTTCCCATCTTTACAGTGGGGGCAGTGTGGCTGACTTTGCAGTGTTGGGAAGTCATACATAGCGCTCTGGGGACAGTGCCTACCCCAAGTGAAAAGGTGAAATTCACTCAGCTTCCTCGGGGCCTGGGGTCGGGGTGGGGGTTGTTTGGATGGCAGAAAGGATCTACAGTTAACGAGGGAAGAAAGGACAGTGAGTCTAGAAAAGACCATTGGGCCATGTGACAATATAGTTGTCACTCCATATTCACCCATCGGCTTCGATCCAGGCATCCTCTAAGTTTCTAGGTTCGCTCCTTGTCACTCCTCACTTGAAAGTCAGATGGAAAAGTAGACCTAATCAAAGGTGCTTATTAATTACAGTGTGGCAAATGGGAAAATACGAGAGGGACAGAAAACAGCTAACATCCTCTAAAGGAAGAATGCAAACATTTTTGTTATACAGTAAAAAAAAATAAAAAAGATTTGGCTGCTAAAGGTGCCCCTAACAAGAGGAAACAGGCCAAATCTGACAGTGATATTCATCTCTGTTATTCCCACCCCTCAAGGGAAATATGCTTATTAATGTGCCTCTTCCCTTGATAAATCACTAAATAGAAAGAAAAGCCTGGCACTCATTTCCCATGGTTTTGCCTGTGATTTATGGCCAGAAACTGGCAGAGCCACAGTGTGCATTCATCTGTGGAAGTGCTTGTCCCAATGCACTGGGCAATAGGCCACCTGCCATCCTCACCTAGGTGGATGCCTGACAACACCCATTGCTGTGGCCACCTGTCTCTGGATCCTGTTTCACTCACTGGTTCTTTTTTCTTTTTAAATTTTTTTTTTTTTTTGCTCATTCATGTTTTTTCATTCATCCGTCAAACCCTCTTGCAGCAGCGAGAGAATGCCTGGTACCCGCTGGACATCGCGGGGATGGTGAACAGGGAGGGCCCTGGGCTCTTTGGGCTCTTCCCTCAGGGAGCTCATTTTCTAGGTGAAAGGTGAAGTCAGTCCCAGCAACACCAGGCAGGAGCTACAGGATTCCCAAGTACCCTGGAGTCCCAGGCAGGCAAGGCTCTGACCCTTTTAACCTCTCTGAACTGGTGGCTTTGGGCAAGCAGCTGACCATCTTTCAGCTGGTTTCTCATATGGAAGGTGGGCTTCTTTGGAGTTAGGGCTGGGCTTCCCACCCGGGACCTGAAGTCTGAGAGGCAGAAGGGAGCTTCATGTTACACGGGGATCATCCAGGGCCTTCTCTGTGCCCAGCATGGGGCTGGGACATGCCTTCCCTGGGGACAGCAGGACACAGCCTTGAGGCCACAGGCAGTCCAACAATCTCACCCAAGTCTTCTCTGGATTCATCGAGGCCATGTTCTGAGGAGTTCAGCTTGAGTACGCCAGCCTGCCACTCTCCACATTATTGTCCATCGCCTCCCTCCCCCTTGGGAGAGCCAAGAGAGCCAGGGTCACAGAGCCAGGGGATTCCGGTTGAGATCACCAGTCCTGATTCTTAGTTATGTGATGAGGGTAGAGAAACCCAGGTCTAGGCTTTCATGTGCTGGTCTGAGGACTGTGCAGAATAACCACATTGCTCTCTCTCTCTCTCAGTGTGGATCCCCACACTGGATCCACAGCAACATAAAGAAAGGGCCTCGGAAGGGAGGTGACATCTGAGTCAAATTAGTGTCAATATGACAATAAAATACAGCACTCAGGAGATATGGGATGTAAACAGACAGCATTTCAATCTTCTCAATGTGGTGTGGGTGGGGAAGGCAGAATTTGTCTGTTAATGTTGGGGTGAAATCACTGACATTGACACCATGAGGACAGAAAATTCTACGTTAAGGCCCAGTGACCTTAACTGAATTCCCACACTCTTGAGAGCCACTTGGCAGAGGGATGACCTTTACTTCCCTGACTGGCTCTGTTGTTAACCTCCCTCTCAGCTTTGCTCCCCTGACTTCTCTCTATAAATCAGGCCCCTGGAGGACAAGAGGAGAGGGTGGGTTCTCAGCAGGACCTCGGAATTGCCTTATCCTGTCCAAGGCCTGGCCTGAGGAAGAAGGTGGGCTTGGTCTGGACTCCCTGGGAGTGGTCTTGCCACCCTCCAGTCTTTCTAGCCACTGTAGGGTTTCTTACAAGTAGGGTGCATTCATGGCCCAGCTGAGATTATTGTGGGCTCCAGGAATATGGAGAGAGATATACAGCCAAGTTTTCCATTCCAGGAAAAGACAGAAAGTTCCATTTTAAGATCTATTTATTTAATCCCAAAAGATGAGTCAATTAAAAATATTAAATACACAGTCACGCAGAGGGCACGTGGCTTAGGCAAAAGTCATGCTGTGGTTGCCTGTGAGTGGGTTGGGGACAAGGCTTGGAAGATCAGTCTGCCTGACCTGGTCTGGCAGATCCCGCCTCCATATCTCTGTTGGGCAGGCAGAGCTTCCAGACTGTTCTCTCACTTCAATGCTCCCTCCCCCCAGGACATAAAGGGAAGTTCTGAGAAAGGAGGCTGTGGTAGGTGGGCTTTGACCACCCTGAGGGACTTAAGCAAAGCAGCCCCACTGGAGAAATGTAAGCACCATGAGGGCAGGCCTTAGTGTGCTGGCACCTAGATCCAGGCCTGGCTCACAGAAGGTATGCAATAATGCCTGCCTGCAGAATGAGTGTGTGTGTGTGTGTGTGTGTGTGTGTGTGTGTGTGTGACAGAGAGAGAGAGAGAGAGAGCCAGAGAGACTGAGAGACAGGTGGAGACAGAAAAGGCCTATTCTCCTTGACTTCCCATAAGCTTGAGGGTCTTTGCACTTGCAGATTTCACACATTCAAGCTCATGTTTAAAGATGGCTTGCTGGTGTGGACATGCAAGTCCTCAGAGACACCCAGGACCCTTCCACAAGTGGCCCCCCGAGCCACTCTGCTAGTGCACGATTATCTCTGTAAGAATGGTGAACAAGAAGGAACTTGATGGAAAGATCCACTACCTTCTTCACAGCGTGGACTGAAGCTTCTTGGGGGTGGGGTGGGGGGCTCTGCAGGAAATTTAGGGATTGGTATAGTTTTACTTGGCTTCCATGGGTCGCAGGAGGGGAGGGGACTGAGGAGCACACCAGAGACACGTCAGGGCTCAGCCATGTTCTGCATCTTTTAGACACACAGCTGAGTGACTTGTCCACACAGGCATCAAACCTGAGCAGAAGTGCTTAAGACATTTTAAAGAGCTGAAGCAAAAATTCTACCTCTGGTTTAAACTGGTCTGAAAAGGGCTGGGGGAGAGCTCGGTGGTAGATGCACACTTGGCATGTGTGAGGCTCTGGGTTCAATCCTTAGCACCAGAGAAAACTTGTTTGAAAAAAAATGTATTAAGTACTGACAGATAGAGGAGAGGGTCTCAGACTGGTTTGATTTCCTTGAATTGTAACAGATTGGAAACTAAGAGAAAGGAAGTTCCTGAAACCCAGGGTTAAAAAAAGTCCCTCTCCCCACACCCTAGGCCCCACATCCCTGCTCAGTTTACCCTAGAGTCTGGTGATCTAAAGACGGAAATGGAGAGAGGAGGCGGGGGTGTGATGAATTATCCAGCAGCCGGTGACATCTGCGGTGAGCTCTACCGCCCACCCATGAGCTCACCTCCTTGCTCCTCCGGCCTTGGCCTTCCCGTTCTCAGAGGTGCTCAGCCCCCAGATGCTGCCCAGTGCCAAGTGTCCTGGGGAACAAAGCTGTCCCAGCCCCCTTCCAGGCCGCCTGCCAGCCCACAGCTGCTCTCCCGCCCGAGCGGTCTCTGCCCTAATTGGTTTGCATCTTTCTCTTCCAGATTCTTCTGCAACTGTCGCTCATTTCCCCCACCCTACACACACGCAGGGCCTGCTCCCTGTCAGGCAGGCATGCCCCAGGCCTGGCAGGCCTGCCATATTGTTATGTCAAAGGAGAAATACCAGCCAGCTACAGTCAGGAGGTGCTCTATGTCCTGCTGGTGGTGTGGAGCTAGCTGGTAGCCTGAGAGAGCTGGACAAGATATGGCAATGAGCCTGGAAGCCAGGACTGTGGTGGGGGAGAGTGGTGACAATGCAGACAGAGGGGCAAGGCATTTGGGGAGCTGCAGATGGCTACAGGAAGAGGTGGCAAGGCAACTCAAGCTCAGCCAGAGAAGGCAGGATGGCAACTGACTATCTGGCTGGGGAGAGGTGACAGGCTACACTTGGCCAGCATGGGGGACAGGATGGAAAGGGAGATGGCAAGAAGGTTTCCAACAGACCTGTGGCCTGGGCATAATCATTGGGTGGGTAGGGTGGGATTGGGGGCTCAGGGCTGGGCCCACTCAGCTACCACTGCACGCAGTAGGGTAAAGCCTAGACTTCTCTTTAGGATCTCTCTCCCCCATGAGAGCAGTGACTGCCCTCTGCAGCTTCAGGGGCCCCTGTCAGCACCCACCCTCCATCTTGCTTTGCCTTCATGGCTCCCCCTACCAGCACTCACCATCCACAGGATTGAGGTAGTCGTGGAGATGGGGTGCACTGGTGGCACCCCCACTTTGCACCAGCAGGTCCCCGTAGGGTGCAGGGTGGCCTGCCATGAGGGTCACCTGATGATAATAGTCTGAGGGGTTGGTGCCTGGGGCAGGGAGGCCAAACAGTCCCCTCTCCTTAAGGTGCTCGTGGGCCACTGTGGACACAAGGGGAGAGAAAGAAGCCATTAAAATTTCTTGCCCAAAGAAATTGCCTGAGGTTCCTCCTGGGACACCCTGTCCCACCCCTACTGATCCACTGCCAGACCTGAGCTAGGTTAGCATGGGGGACACATTGCCAAAGGAGACCAGATCCTGTCTCAACCTTCCTCCACTTCCTCAAATTCACGAACACCCTCCCACCTCCCTTCTGGGCCCATGAAAGCACAGAGCCCCAGGGCAATAGGATCCAGGCCCAGTAGCCTTCAAAGGGAAAAGAAAATGAGAAAACAGGTGCCATGGAGGCTGCCATGACACAGGTCATTTCTTCATCTGAACACTCAGGGTCAGGTGGCTGCTGAGAGTTGCTGGGCCTGCTCAGGAGGCTTTTTGTCTCCAAAGCCCACCATGCCCCTAACCCTGCGGTGCAGAGCCTTGAGGCCATCTGCTCCAACTCTGTCTAGGGCTGAGGAACAAGGCAGCAAGGGCGGAATTGAGAGTATCTGGGGACCTGGCACTCAGTTGGTGGTGCTGTGTCAGGGAACTACTGGGTGTCTGGACATCAAACATATCCGGCGAGAATCCTGGCCTTTCCTAGATGTGCAAAACCAGAAGGCATCCTCTCTGTGAGCTGGCTCAGGTTTCCATCGGTAAAATGGGGGTAGGAATGGCCCAATGAAATTCTGATTGGTCTTGCCAGTAGTGGGTAGGGTCATGCTGAGTGCTCTTTGCGGCTGTAATCTCAGTTACCACAGCATTAGGGGCCACCAGGCATCCTTGTCACCCCCACTGAGCTAATGAAGACTCCGACACTTAGCTAATTCAATACCTTGTGCAAGGTATGGGATGGGACCCACAATTTGAATCTAACTCCCAAGTTCCTAGCCACTGTACTCCCCAATCTCTCTCAATGAAAGTCTCTTCTCCAAGGTAGCCCTCTCTCACCACCCAGCTCTTCCTGGGCTACATGGCAGGCAGCAGAGATCTGAGGGGCGCTCTGCTCCTTTTTGCCTCTTACTATTTGCTGTTAAAAAACCAGGATTTTATTTCTTCACAGTTCTAGAGGACAGAAGTTCAAAATCATACTGTCAGCAGGGAGAATCACTTTTGTTCCTTCCATTTTGTTCCTCCTCCAGCTTCTGGTGGTTGCTGGCTTCCTTGGCTTGTGGCCGCATCATTCTATCTCTGCCTCCATCTTCACATCATCGTCTCCTTTGTGTGTAGGATTAGAGGCCGTGGGATACTCCAGGATGATCTCCTCAGCTCAAGATTCCTAACTTAAAAACATCTGCAAAGCCTGTTTTTCTGAGTGAGGGAGCACAGGCTCAGGGATGCCACTATGGATACGCCTTTTGGGGGCAGGGGGCAGGCACCATTCAGCTCATATTAAGTGTCAATCCAGAGGCAGCATTTGAAAGCTGGGTCACTTTCCACAGGACATCAAATTAATCTTCAAGGACTGCAGCTCAGACAATGCCACTCCTCAATGGCACCAATTCTCACTGGCCATTTTCCAGGTTCAGTGGTTGCAGTCACTTGCCTGTCTTGTTTGCCTTTGGCAAAGACCTGGCCGAGTATAAGTTTCCTTCCTCCTGGAAGGTAAGCCTGATGCTTTAGGGTGTGGGAAGCAGAAGCTTTCTTTCCACTGTGAAACTCTGGCTTGAATCTTCTCAGAGCTAGGCCTCAGCTTCAGCTCCATGTTACACCCATAAAGTGGAAGAAGACACATTCCTCTGGGGGACAGTGAAGGTAACAAGAGACCCATTGGGACCATGTTTTCTAGAGTCTCTATTTATAGGGCTCACAAGACACACTGCAAATGCCCTCTGGCTTGGAAGTGACCCTGGCCTGAGAAGTAAGACTTAGACAGGTTTTGAGAAGATGTAGCTGGGTTGCCTTCAAGGGTGAAAACTCTGACTGGCAGAGAGCAACGCAGGGCAGTGAGGGGGTAGTGGGTAGTACCCACGCTGTGCTGGGTGGGGTGCACGTCCCAGGATGGGGTGGACCTCAGATGTGTATTACCGTCCAGTGTGCACAGGTGTATTTGTGTGTGTGTCGGAGGGGGGAAGGCAGGGGCTACAAGCATGAAATTTTAGATCTGAGAGGCATATTCATACCATGTCACCCTGCCCTTTTCTAGCCCAAATTAATCAGACTAAGAGTGGCCACATGATCTGAGTTGAGCCAGTCAATTCTCTCTCTCAAACATCTGAATCGAGAGACACAAAGTCACAGGTTTATTCCTGGAGTGTTGGAGCCTGGGCTGCCAGCTGGAGGCCATCTGTATTGACCTGCAAGGGGCACATAAACAGAGATGCAGGCATCGCCAGCTCCCCTCTGCTCTGGGATTCCACGAGCTACTCTTACACAACACCTATTGAATACAGCTTCTGCAGACCTTGATTCATTGTAACCTAGGAAAAGGCTGGTGGGGTTTGGATATCAAGTATCCCCGAAAAGGTTTGTGTGTTAAAGGTGTGATCTCTAGTGCAATGTTCAGAGGTGGGCTGTAAGGAAGTGCCTGATCACAAGGACTCTGCCTTCATCCGTGGATTAATCTGTTGATGGATTTATAATTTGATGGCAGTATTGGGAAGTGATGGAAAGAGGAGGTGGGGCTTGGTTTGGTGAATTAGGTCACTGAGGGTACTCCTTTGTCATGTCCCCAATCCCTTCTGCTGTCTTTGCTTCCTGGCCACCATGAGGTGAGCAGCTCTGCCATGGCATTCCCTCCCTATCATGATGTTTTGGGGGCAAGAGCTGACCCTGGACTGAAACCTCTGAAATCATGAACCAAAATAAATGTCCTCCTTACGTTGATTTTCTCAGGGTTTTGTCAGTGATGAGAAAGAGCTCTTTAATGAGCACAAAACCCCATCAACTCCCGAATCTCTTGGCTTTCACCATTCATTTACTAAAAAATCTGGGTTCAGAGGTGGTGGGAAGGAAAGCCAGTCTGGTCCCTTTCCCAAGGGACTGAGGCTGGCTGTGGAGGCAGAGTCACTGGGTCACCCACTGTGCCCTATTCTATCCCTTCTCCTCCCACCCCCCCAGGCCTGACTTACCATCTGCAGGGCTGAGGCCCCTGGCTGCAGAAATCATGGAGAGCGTGGGGCTGCTGTGCACGGATCGGAGGTAGTGCTCCATGTGGGGGTTCACGTAGGGGTGGGGAGCATTGAAGGGGGACTCCCCAGGGCCAGCAGGGTGTGGGGAAAGCCGGATCAAGGAGATGTCAGAGATGATGGGGCTGCCGCTCAGGGTGGGAGGCCTGCAGAGACAAAGGGCAATGTTCTCAGAAAGAAGGCTCATGGGGATGGAAGCCTGCCAAGAACCTCAAACCAACCCAAGCAGTCCTGACACTCCTGGGAAAAACCTGCCCTTGTCATTTTCTACACCACCTCTAAATTACAGTCGAATTTAGAATGATAATAGTCGAATTCAGAATTACAATCTGAAGCATTAGCCAGTGAACATGGTCTGGAAACTGCCTGCTGGTATAGCCACTCACTCGCCAATCCTGTGTTGGCAAACGGAACTGTGCACACTCACAGGGATTTGCTGGAGCCTGGTCTCAGCTGGTCACACACACCTGGGCTGCTGCCCTGGTCCCCAGTGCCTGCACAAGGCTGTGTACATGCATGTTCAAAAATATTAATGCCAGGAGGAGGATGAAAAAAGCTCATGTTCCTAACAGAACATGCCACAAAAGGGAAGGATCGAGAGGTGACTTGCAAGGGCAGAAGTCTGCCTTCAGTAGGATGGTCACTGGTGGGACATGCTTCGTCACAGAATTAGGGGTGAAGGGAAAGATCAGGATTCAAGATGAGCTTTGAAACTCGTGACTGTAACTAAAATGCTGAATATCATTCTAGCTTTCTCTATGTGTTAATTTCTCATGTAACAAGAGTCCCTTATCTCCAACGCCCAGAGTCAGTCTGGAGTGCATATGGCTTGGTTTCTGTGGCCTGGACTGATTGTGACCAATCTCTATGTTCCCTGCCTGGCCATCCAGGCACTCCTTAGTGTGACAAAGGAGCTTTTACCCCTGGCCTGGTGACCTGAGACTTCTAAGCAGTTACAGAGGTCATCTACTCCAAACCGTGTCCTTAAACACAAACCAGACTTCATGAGCAAGCAGAAGTTAAGAACCAAAGTTAAGTCACTGGGAGCCACACTCACCAAGATCTCATCTTCGGTTTTTCAGAAAACGGACTCCATGGTTTCACATAGCACAAAGAAAAGAATGTGTGAGGATCTGATAAAACTGGTTTTGAATCCCAGCAGATTCATGCTCTGCAAGTAACTTAACCTCTGCTGACCTGAAGTTTCCTCATCTGTAAAATGGGGACAATTCTAAATGTCTTCTCACAGAGCTGTCCCCAGATTGTGCCTGAGCCATAGTAGGTGGTCCGTAAGTGATAGCTGTGATTTAGCATCGGTACCACGCTCCAAGGGCAGGCGTGAAGTGATGGGAGGCCACCAGTCACATGGACTCGGTGTCACCTGTGGGAAAGGCACTGCTACAGCTGGTCACTTTACAGAGGGCATGGCTGGTTTGGTGGCCAAGCAAAGCAGAGATGATGTCCAATAGGGCATGAAAACTGGCTTCACAGCACAGTACAAACCACAACTCAACAGGTGACAGCCAGATGTCTCCACATCTGGGTTTCAAAAATGTCCAGTGCGGAGGCCTCTGCATAGGGCTTGTGCGTGAGTACTCCCCAGTATCACTTCCTGGCACCTACAGATGTGCGTGCCTTAAACATGCAGATGAGCGAACCTGCCTGGCTACCTGCAGGCTCCTGGGCTTTTGGTATCTCACGCCTTCCTATTCCCCACCCCCCCGCCTCCCCCCAACACAGGCAATTGCTCTGTGGAGACAAGCCCAGTTCCGGTGTGGGGACACAGGTGTCACCTGCTACTTTCAGGCCCTGTTGTTCCTGGATTGCAGCCCCACAGGTGTGTGTATGTTGCCAGGAAGGCACCTCACTCCTGCCTCCTGTCTGGTTTGCAAGGTGGCCTCAGTCTGCTAAGGGAAAGCCCCTTGTGATCGCCAGCCATCTCAGGGCCCAGGTGTGGTTGGAGCACTCCACAGGGTGACCTCAGTGCCAGGGAGGCCAGTGTTCCTGGGTTTAGGGCATGGACAAGTCACTTAGAGCCAGCTTCAGCGACCATAGGCTACTATGACCTAAACCCCAGCCAGCATCCTGCAGATTCTGGGACTCTGCTTGCCGGGAGAGATCTGCTAAAGGCAGAGGAGTCTGAGGACAGGAGACACCTTTGCTGTCCTGCTAGTCAGTGGACACCTGCGCTCACTGGACACTGGCCCCCAGGGCATGTGTCCTTCAGCCCCAGGCTTCTCTTTACAAAGCACCCTCATGTGGCCAGAATGTAAATGTCCATTCTGCTGCTGTCACAGGCCAGTGCCAGTACCAACAACTGCACCTCACCATGAGGACTTGGCGTTGAGATGGGGGAGGGCACATCCCATGCCACATAGCCAGGAAGAGGTAGGGGGGAGTCTGCTGAAGCCAGCCTTGCACTCTGAGTGGTGCCCCCTTGACCAAACCACCACAGAGGACCCCTGGTCTGTTGGCTCCCCTGGCCTGCAAGATTTCTGGTCTGCCGGCGCAGTGGGCAGGACGGTCGGGGAGGTCACTGCCCCAGCCCAAAACAGATTCATCAGAAGAGGTGGGGAGACAGGTCAGGTCCTGACAACAAGTCTGATTAGGTGGCATGTGGAACAAGCTTTGGCCCTTCCCCATGCCAGGGAAGGTTGCATGCTGGGCCCAGAAGGGGTGGGATCTGGCCACAGAGCTGCCCAGCACAGGACTTGGTGTGGGAGGCCATTCCCAAGGAGGCAGGGCCCTGTGCTGTGGCACAATTGAGGGCAACAGTTCTCACACCAATCCCCATCCTCTCCACTTAGCTGTTCAGCCTCAGTCAGGATGCTGACACTCTCTACTGCCTCACCAGGGTGCTGAGACCAGGCCTGGGGATGTGGTAGGGGATTGGGATTAGCACACCTTAGCTCCCCTTCCTTTCCCAGCAACAAGTGAACTTGGAATGTGAAGCACCTGCTGATCTGGGCACCTACAATCTGAGACAACAGGCCCATAAGCCAATAGCCGGGGATGACTGTCCAGACACCTTCCCCAAGAAGCCTTTCTGGGTGTCTCCTTTGTACAGGGCCACTTAGGTTGGCTGTGCCTGACCTGCATCTCGAGGTAGGACTGACTAGATGCCAGCCATCAAAGAGGCCACATGCATGTATTTCCTTTTGTGAATCCATGCCCATTTTATAGTTGAGGACACACCCATGGGTGGCCATGGTCACCCAGCCAGCAGGTGCTGTGCCCTGAGGAGAAAAGCGGATGCTCTGGACAGGCCCGAGTGAGGGCGACACCTGTGACCTGGACAGCTTCTGCCTTGCCCCCTCTCAGCTCCCTTTGTTTCTACCCTGGCTCCACTTCATCCTGCTATATGGGGAGGGACTAGGTTGCCTCCTACACATTTTTCTATAAACGTCTGATAAGGAGTCAGGGCACAAATGTTCCAAGAAATCATTATTTTGACAGAACAAATAAAGCTAAAGGAATGACTCTCAAATGGCAAAATTCCAACCATTACGACTACATTTGAGAGACAAGGGAGCTTTCCGGTAGCCCTGAAGCCGCACCAACACTGCCAAGCCCCAAGTAGGTCCTTCAGGACGTTTAGGGACCAGAACTTTTCTTTCCTTGACATTTGGCCTCATCCCTGTCCAACTGAGAGTCCTCAGGCACGTTGGTGCCCCAGTGCTAGTGAGCAGATGACATCAGGGAGCCACAGTAGAGGCTTTACCAGAAAAGGTGGCTGCTAGTGAAACCAGAGCCCTGTGTCAGGCTGGACCCCCACAGGCTCACTGTCTTCTTCCACAGCCACATGGTTGTGAAACAGGGACATACCCTATCTGCACCATGGCCCGTTTAGGCCTTGAACTCTGACATCTTGGCAGAGACTCAAGGAGGCAGCTTGAGGGTAGGAGGAGAGGGAGGCAGTGGTTTAGGATCAATTTAAAAGGGGCCAGTCAGTGCCTTATGGCACAGATACACATGTGCACACTCACACCCCCCGCCGCCAGGCACAACCAAACAGATGACAGAGCCTGCCCTCTGCACGCTGCTCTGTGTGGACACTGCCTGAACCATCTTGGAACTCATCCATGCCAGACTGACTCCACCATTGGTTCCTTCTTACATTTCTTTTCACCCCAGTAAGGCTGTCATGGGTAACTGCTCTGTACCCAGAGACCTGTAGGAGGTTCAGAGCCCAAGTGAAAGAGGCAGACCATCAATCAGATGAGCACAGGGCAATGTATGAGGGAGGTTTCTCAGAAAAGGTGATATTTGAGATGGGTCCTGGAGGTTGCATAGGAGTTCATGAGGAGGCATGTTACAAGTAAAGAAAGCAGCACATGCAGAGAAAGACTGGAACATAAAGCTGTGTGCACTTGAAGGTAGGCCCTAGGGTAGAGCAAAGCCCATAGGTACTTTGCACTGGGTCAGTGTTGACCTGTTTTTTGTTTTCTACTCTAGGCATGAGGCCATGAGACCCCAGTCAGGTGATCAGTGTTTTTAGCTCTGGGCACTGTATTCAGTTCAGAGACAGGCATGGAGGTGCCCAAGACAGCACTGTGGTTAGAATCTTGGGAAAGAAGTTCTTGGTGTCCACAGGGATTGCTAAACTGCTGAGACACAGGCATGGGGTGGCAGGGGACTTGAGGAAAGTCCAAGAATGGACTTTCTGTGAACAACACAGATAACAAGCTGAGAGATGGAGAATCTGTTTCTCGATTTGAGCCCTGGGTCTGGATCCAGTTTTTCTAAAGTTAGCAGCCCTGCTTTTCCAGTTATCTGAATCTAGGTGTGTGTGCATGTCTGTGTTTAAACCACTCAGAGCTGAGATTTTCTGTCATAGACAACCTCCAGGCCTGTCACAGATGGCCCTGCCTCATACAGCTTCCCACTGCCCAGTGGTCCCTGCTCTGGTAATTGCAAAGCCTGCCTACCCTCCACCTGCATAGCTGGAGCCCAGGATCCCAGATGTCCTGCCTGGGACAGGGTTTTAGGACTAGGCCCATAAATCAGTGTAGGGCTGGGGCGAGGGTGCAAGGAAGAAAGGGAAAAAGGGAGCGGAAAAGCAAACTGAGGCCAACAGGGCACAGGTGCTGCTGACCAAGTCACGTGTTTACCGAACACCTACCACATGACCAAGTGCACTGTATCT